ATGAAAGTTAAGATGCGGTAATATACTACAACATTAAAAGCATGTGAGGGACTTGGCGTTTTTTCTTTGTATTAGGCACAGAGAATGTCGAGATGACCTTAAACACGACTTTTCGTTCGTCACTGCACGTGATGTATTATCTACCATTTGATAGGTTAATGGGCTTATGAATTATTAATAAATTTTTGAAGTTTTGATAAAATTTGGAGTGCACACAAACACGGTGAAATTTTGCATTTAGTGACTTGACGTCCGCTGGGATTCCCTCTGAGCAAAAGGGATCAAACTTTGAATTCCTTAGAATAACAAGTAGCATGTTAGTGATATTCCCTCCTTCGGCCGCATTTGTCAAATTGTTAATTCATTCGTGGATTTCAAACCGTGGTGGGTAACAAAGGGGCATGGTTTTTATTTTGCGATCATTTCAAACACAACTCTGTACCATCGGGACTAATCATCAAGTATCTTTGCATTGGATGCAGCCTTGAGAAGCGACCCAAGGTAGTCAACAAGAACACAGGATTCGCTTCACATTGCCTACGAGCGCTACCAGCGATATAATAACAATTAATATAAACTGAAAATAATAACCAAAGCAAAGGAGGTACTATTTTTGTTAGATCTAAGTATGCTCAGTGAAATACCAATTCTTAACTGCCGTACAAAAAAGAGACCCTGTCTTCTTTTTTTTCGACAAAAACAAAATTGGGATTTTGCATTTTATTTAACGACAGATTAGCATGTTGATAGTTAAGAAGAAGGACATTTGAATGCCATTGAAGCAAGCAAATATGCTTAGCCCAATAACAAGCAGCCAACAGCCTATGACTTATAAAGGCTTACTTAATATCTAGGAGACACGCATGGGTTCGAATCTTGTCAAAGCCTGAATTTTTTCAGACTTTCTTGCAGATATTACCTGTGAGGATCATAGCTTCATTTGATTTCAATCCACAGGTCGAATAACAGACGGCCCAAGCTCCAGCTGTGAGAGGATCATCTTGCGAAATAATAGTCATGGCGAAATTATAACAGTTTGAATGGGAACATTTACGACCGCTCCTAAGAGTAAAAAATATTGTCAAATTCTCAATAAAAATACCTCATCTTGCTTCCATAGTGCATCGCTTGCTATCTGATCACTTACTATGTTGAAAAGAACCCATTTTAGCGAGTTATCCATTTCTAGGTTAACTACGCACGTAAGAAAAGCTTTTCTTTCTTCTTTCTAAGAGCGGTCGTTAATATTCCCAAATTTTGCCATGACTCTTTATTTCGCAAGATGATCATCTCATAGCTGGAGCTTGGGCCGCCTTTGGTCGAATGAAATTTATTTCATGGCAAATTGTTCCAACTGAAGGGTTGTTTAAACTAAACATAAAGAACTAAGCCATTAACTAGAACCTTGATTATCCGGACTCGTTAGGACTACATAAAATAGTCCGGATAATCGAGGATCCGGATAATCGAGAAGAGGAAGATCTTCGTTTTTCGGATTGAAATGGTGTAAACGTTTATTCAGTGTTATTCCCAATTTTTGTAATGGCATCATGTGGTTTCGCGGCAGCGACTGTAAACCACTGTTGACATCGTTGTAAAAATGGCAGTGAAATGTGGTCAAATGCCAAAATTCAGAAATAACAGATATTTTCTGTAGTGTTTACGAGTTTTGACAGTTTTATATCTGAGTGTTCAATTTGATCAGCAAATTTTGGTCAATTTTCAGATCTTCGCTTCAATCTTGAGATCTTTGTTTTTTCCGCGGTGATCTTCGCGTCTTCGATATCTTCGGAAATACCCGTAGAGAGGCTCGAAGATCGTAAGTGTCGTAGAGTTCGCAAGTTGGTGATTCGTTACGTTTTAGATTTCTCGTTTTCATTAAAAAGGTTTCAACATAATGTAATGTACTTGATAAGCATAAGTTAAATGTACGTACTTGATAAGCAGGATCCATATGTTTGTATGACTCTTGTCTAATTAGACTATGGTGAGCGAAGTTGTGTTGGGAAAAAAAAAAAACTAGTGACTGTTCTTGGCGACTGTTGATGACTTACTTTAAGGATAATGAAATATTTGTATTTAAGAGTAATTCAAGACGACCCACGGGTAGCGAAAAGAAATAAAACTGGGGCTGTCGTCAGTAGATACTTCACAAAGCCCACCAAAAATATTTCCGATTTTCCAATAAACTGATTAAAGAATTTTACCACAACAACTTTTCTAGATTGCCATCGGCTTTACCTCATTACTCGGTGAAATTTTAATTTGTATCCTTACACATTCTAACGAAGGTTTTTTCGTAACCTAGAGAATTGTTCAGTGTGATATGCAAATATTGACTTTTTTCTAGGTGTGGCTTAATCCCTCGCAGTCAGAAATTTTCGTAGGATTTCTACCGAAAGGTTCTTTCAAATTTCCTAAGAATACCAGAAATCTGTTTAGAAATGTCATACGATTCCAAAAATTAATTTGTTTTTTTAGATGACAAGTTTCCGAGCTTGTGTATATATAATTTCCAAGCACCGTCAAGTTGTCGTCACATTCCATTTTAGACCAGCTGGTCTCAGGGAGAGAGGCGTTCCACGACTGGAATTCTGAAGCTCTGTATATAAGTACTCTGGTATTATGTAAGTTTTTGTGTTTAAAAAACGCTTTGTAAGTAAGTTTAGATATTTTCTAAGGAGGCATTTTCATGCCGTAATCTCAGGTAAACGCAATACATTGTACAGAAATAATTTCTTTTGGTAAACAGCAGTTAACGACTGGATCGCAAAAGTAGACCTTGTTGGTGCGTAATTTTGCGATTTCGAGAAGATTTTGGAATAAAAGTTGATTTTCACGTTTTGAGAGACTGAAAGTTCCCGTTCACAAGAGTCTCGACGGGAGAAAAATAGACCCTTTCTTGCGAGCATAAACTCTCGTGTGGATAATTTCATGCGTAACAACCCTTAATTTACGAGAACCAAGTTTAACGAGTTGTCGCTAAAATTCTATCTAAACGGGTTGTAAATAGCCTCGTGAGACATACCATAATGTGCTTTGTCGAAGGACAGAACATAAGCTCGTGATTTTTTAAGTTACCAACAGTTATAATTCTTATCGAAAGCGTAGACAGTCGTTCTTAGCTTAAACTTCAATTTCACTTTTCAGTTTTCAGGTTTCAGTGACCGCATTCAAGACTGATAGAACAAGAGCTAGAAATGCTTACGGGGACAAGTTAAGACATTATATTTTTACCTTAGCAAGATTCGACGGAAAATGACACATTCTCGCCGAAACATTGTTCATTCTTACACCCATCCATCCCGCAAAGCAAACAACCAAGTCACATGTCCTCCTCTACTTGCCCCAGTCCTCCAAGGGATACCCCAGCCATGCTTTATCAAGGTTCCTCATAACGTTTGCGAGTGCCTTCCGGAAAAAAATTCTTTCGTGCCCTGTTTTTGAGGTATATAACTAACACAAACCACAAGTGGAGAGTATTCGAAAAAAACAAAACAAAGCCCGCTCAGCTTTGTTCTTTACTGTTCAGTTGACCTCCGCTCCAAATTTCACTGAATTCTATCAGTTTTATACATACTCTACTCATTCGTTTGAAGAAGTAGCAATTGGTTCATATCGCAAATTAATGGCTAGTTTTCGTGTTCTAAACTCATCACGCCTTCTCAGAGTAATGTCTACACTTAGCTCCCAGTAACACTGTGGGCCGCTAGCCAATAAAACTGCAGTCCCCTTGACGTTCGAAGTAAGAATGATGGTGTTTCACGGGAAAGTAATAGTTTTCCAACCAAGTTTTCTCCAGTTAACTTCTTCGAAGTCATTTTCGATAGTCAAGGGATGGGTCAAACTAAGGGGAAAAAATTAATGTTCTTCTCCATCTTTGAAGGTTTGGCACACCACGAACCCTAGTCACTCTCAGCATGATATTTTCATAATTCATTTTTAATCCAAAAATTTAAAAGTTTTTCTCCTTTTAGGTCCTGGCTTTTTTTTGGTTTTTAACTGAGGACTTCTTTTCTTTTCCATTTTCCTTGATGAGGATTGATCACTCATTATCGAATACTTCAGTACTGAAACGCGAGTGTAAACAAAGTTGATCTGAAATAGTATTCATAGTAAATCTTTAAGCATTATGCTTGCTTTTGAGCGTAACCCCTGAAAGCATGGCATTATGCGATATTTTTTCTTTGTTCTCAAATTAAACACAACATTTTATTGGATCAAAGTCTGTTGCCAAGGGAATCTTATAACCTCCTTAACTTCAGTTCCACGTTCTCATTAGGAATCAAAGTTTTGTACCTTTTGGAGAACGATCCATCTGCAACTTGCATGTAGGTTTACTTTTGCTGGCACTTGCAGACTTTAAAAAAATAAAAATTTCAACAACCGCGTGAATTGTCTGTTACTAATCTCAATCCAAAGAGCGCTAATAGAATAATTTTCGTTTCATTAAACGCTACTTTTCGTTATTGCTGTCTAAACTTGCATTTACACTCCAAATTATAGTGACAGAAGAGCTATTAACTTTAGCCGATCGCACAACAATACAAGTCATATTTCAACTATACAACAAACTTCATGAAGTTTACAAAAAAAAAAAAACAAAGCTTGATATTCGTTGAGTTGATATTCGTTTCAATGCATGTTACGAGCTTTTACACAAATATACCATAAGCTGAGGGCATA